ATATATATATATTATAATAATCACATTTTATAAGGTTAGATTAAAAAAAAATAAATTATAAATATAAAAGTCAAAAAAACAGCAAAAAAAAAATAATTCTCAAAATAGACTTTGTGATAGTGATCTAGAATGCATTGCATATATAAAAGTGTCCCAAATAAATAGTTAATATGATAAACACATCAGAGAGTTTGTGTGTTGTGAAATAGGTTTTATGTTAAAAAGGAGCATTTGCATATATATCACACATTTTTTATTTATTTACATATCTAACGTTTAAATGTTCATATCTATTTTTATAACACCCAAAGTTTATCGTCACATAATAATATTGTTATTATTATTTTTTTTAAAAGTGATTTATAAATTATTGTATCATGAGTCCTGATGCAGTTTTCATCAAGACGCCAATGAGGATCTACCATGTGTACATAAAGGCCCACCCACACCTGGCAGACCCTGTAAAAATGAAAGTTCACCCCTCCCCAGCCGTAAAATTCACATTTTCATCCATAGATAGCGTGCTTGGTTTGTAAAAATGAAAGTTTTGGGTATCATATACATAAAATCATAAAAGTTGGGTGTTGTTTGTATAAATTTCCCTCAATTTAATTATAAAACTCTTATGCATTAAATATATACGTAGATATGGAAAGTTATAATCATCTTTATTAGAAATTAAAGCCATTTCCTAATAAATCCTAATTTTCTATTTTTTTTATTTGTCTCTTAAAAAACTTTTTCTTAATTTCTTTTTCTTCAAATCGTTCTCATCCATCTGTCTCTCATAATGCGATTAAATGTTTCTTGCCACCTCCAACATAGGGGTAATTACATAATTAGCCTTTGAAACATTATTATTTACAATTATATCCCCCTCATTCATCCATGTTTTCTATCAAAATTTACGATATGGTGTGTTTCAGAATAAACAACTTATACTGAAATACAGTCCACGGGTCGACTTGCGGTCAGCGTTTAGTATAAAAAGGTAACTGCGTTTTTGGATAAGCATACAAAGTGTATGATCCAAAAGATACCGCAGCGTTTTAAAAAATGCCCGCGCACTTATAATCTGCCCCAAACGGGCTCATAATCCCAATAGTTTTAATATATATATATATATATATATAAGCTGAGAGCCATTTTGGTAGATAACAATATTACGAGGGTTATATATGTAAATATCCCGAGTAAAAAATGACTACCAATTCGCTGGTCCAATTGCAGAAGTATTCATTAATAATGTATTTCAGAAGCTTGCATGAAAGACCAGCAGAAAATGCTTCATTTGGCTGCTTATGAAAATGGAAACTATGTTTTGTTTTTTTTAATTAATTCATTAAAAAAAAAATAAAAGTCATAATTTATAAAAAGGGATATTTAAATATATATACCACAAATAGTTCTTTATCTATTTACATGCCTGACAATTAAGGATGTGGTTGGGGCAGCTGCAGCTTATTGAATAATCTGATGATAAGCTGGGTGCGGCGGCTATTACAAATTTTTATTTTTTTGGAAAACCAAAGCCGTTGTCAGAAAGCTGCCACCGCACCTAGGTAGGTGCGGTGTGAAAACATTGTTTTCACCATTTTGAAAACGAATAAGCTGCTAAAATGCAATTTACCCAAACATGCCATAAATTTTGATATTTGCATGCATAAAACTTAATTTTTTAGCTTCACTGCATCAAGAATATCATTAATATTAATTTTTAAAAGTAAAAAAAAAAAACTGTTTACATATAAATTTTCATATTCGCATATATAACTCTCAATATCTTTTATATTATATGAAAAAATATCACTATTATTTTTCTTTGAAAAGTGAAATGCTCCTTTTAATATATATAAGTTATTGACATCAACATGTTGTAAATATAAATATGAAAATGTGGGGGTTGATATGCAAATACACAAGTATAAAGATTAAAATTTAATAGTAAGATATATGAATATATAAAAATTATATGGTGTTTTTTGTAATTTTTTTTCTTCTTAATATTTATCCTAAACTGGCATCCACTATGCTTAGTATGTTATTATTATTATTAGTAGTAGTAAATGATGATGTCTATTTATATCTGATATAATAATAAAGTTAATAACTATAATTTCAAATCATGAAATGAGCCTCAAGGAAATTTATGTGCTCAGCTTATTATTATCTTATTTTGTTTATAATTTCTTTCTCTTTTTGATAATTTTTTGAGTTTTACGATTTATAAATTTCTTTTTCTACCCTGCATTCGCGCCTTTGGGTGTTTCATGTATCCCTCTTTCAACCTTGCATTCATCCCACCAAGTGGGGTCGACTATATGAATCATTTTTTCTCCATTATGTCATATTGAGTGTCATATTTCATTTAGTTCTGATAAATTAAGATCATTTTTTATACAACATGTCTAAGTCTGTTTAGTTCTACCTCTTTGTTCCTTAACACAAGTCAAATCTTCGACGTTTAATGTGACAAAACCATCTAAGGTAACACTCTAATATTGTCTGCCACTAAAATTACTTCAACCCTTTCATGAATATGTTCATTTCCCGTTTTGCATCTAGGCGTGTAGCCACTCATCCACCTGAGCATTCTAATCTCAACAACACTTAACTTAATTTTATGATTTTCTTTTACAGACCAATATTTTGCGCCGTAAAGTATTGTTGGTCTCAACACCAATAAAATTGTTCTTTTAGCCTAAACATTACTTTTCTATCACCAAATGAATGGGATTGGTGCATTCCTCCACTTGAATCATCCAACTTGAATTCGAGTAATAACTTCTCCATCTATATCACAATCACTTTAAACAAATGACATGTTAGGTTTAACAATCTTTTTTTTATTAAATCCTTAACGCATAATGATATTAGATCATACTTTACAACTTTGAACATTGTTCAAAATTTATTTCAAATTCAATATATTGTTTCTTGTTCATACCAACAACACTAAATAAAAATGGCATTTGAAATCATGTGGTGCCAGGCAAAGGTTGTAACTACAACAACAAGCATTTTCCCACTAAGTGGGGTCAGCTACATGAATCTTTCTTTTCCATTATTTCCTATTGACTGTCATATTATCATTTAATTCTATTAAATTAAGATCATTTTTATACAACATGCTCAAGCCTTTTTAGGTCTATCTCTACCTTTCTTAACATAAGTTAAACCCAAAACATCAATTCATCTAACTAGATTATCAGATGCTCGGGTTTAATGTGACCAAACTATCTAAGGCAACTCTCTCTAAACTTTTCTGAAACTGGAGCTACTCCAACCCTTTCACGGATATTTTTGTTCCACATTGCCTCTAAGTGTAAAGACACTCATCCACTCGAGCATTCTCATCTCAACAACCCTTGACTTAATTTTGTACTTCTCTTTTATGTACCAATATTCCACGACACAAAGCATTGCATGCCTCACCACAATCTTATAAAAATTTTCTTTAAGTTGAAGCATTAATTTTTTAACACACCGTAGGTTCACTGTATTCCTCCACTTCAACCATCCAACTTGAATTCTACTAATAACATCCCCATCTTTATCTCCATC